TAAAAAATTTTAAAAAATACTCATTAAATTTAAAATTAACTTGAACAATTTTTTTGTTATTTATTGATTTAAATCTTTCTAGTCAAATATTTTTATAAAATTTAAATGCATGTTAACATTTAGAAGAAACAAAATATGAATTGGTGGATGCTTGGATGCAAATAAAATGCCATTTTTGAAGATTGATTTTTCAATGCACGATTCGAGCGATAATATTCAAAAACATTTACGTGCTCAGGTATATCGATCACAAACTTCTAATCTAATTTTTTACTTTTCAATATTCATTTAGATTATATTACTGATAATTCGAATTTCATTTTAATAATGTTAATTTCGACATTATTGTTGACAAAATTTTATATTTCAAAAAAAAATCTACTTGCATCAGAAGAAAAATATTATTAATAGGAAAAAAAAAGAAATGATAAATATAATCGTATACAATGTGTAAATTATTATTCGAATTAAATTATATTTAAATTTTAAGTTTGTGCGTTATTTCTGGCCAGTACAATTAGTCCTTGCTTTACTTTGTTGCCGAATTACTTGCCTCAGGCAAAAAAATAGACGTCATCGTTGGATAGCCGATTGTCATACAATTTTTATCACTTTATTCTTAATCATTATATTACTGATTACAATCATACAGTTTTGGTATGGCATACGAACAAAATCTGAGTAAGTTTTTTTTTTATATATTGATATTCACATCACTTGTCATACTATTATTATTGTTGTCAGCTTGTTTTCCACTATCATGTCTTATCTTTTATCATCACTATCAACATGAAACTATTTTTAATTTTTACTTTATAGAGAATAATGCTGGAAATTTGTGTCAGAAAATTTCAGGAATGCACCGGAAGTTGCCGTATCAATTTTGCAACTGCAAGGAGTCTTGAACTTATGCTTTTTGATCTATTGGGATCGACATTCAGTTGGTGACAAATTGCGCCAACGTCTTCAAACCACATCAACTGGCATTGGTGTTTTAAGACGGAAAACACTGCTCGATAATATTCATGTAGATTTACCTTTGAATTCATTATTGAATTTTAATTATCGGATTGGCGTACAATGAAATCGTTTCACACAAATATATATATATTAACTATATGAGAATTATTTGTAAGATTAAGCTCAGAAATTCGATAACTGTCAGATTCATTTAAGAAAAAGCAATCATTTCCTCCAATTCAGCAACATATAATGCCGATTTGAGAATTCAGTAAAAAGTAAATCGGATCTGTGAGATTTCAATTCGAAAATTAATTATTCGCAAAATTTAATGCAATTTGCCACTCGTTATGGATTTATTTTAAAGTAATACAGTGAAACAAACATCAAAAAGCATAAATAAATGAATAAACAAGCATATCAACAAAGAGAAATAAGCAATGGAAAACAAATGCAAATGAATAAAAGTAAACATCAAAAAATAAGCAAAAAAAAAGGAAAGGTTAAAGTAAACAAAATACAAAAATAATTTATAATAAAAACATTATAATAATATGAAAGATATGTAATGAATTTTTCCTTTCAGTCTGGTGCAATCATATTTGGAACTATTATTAGCGTATTTATGATAACTTATAAAATCCTACGAATAATTGCTAATAATTATTCGCCTATTATAAAAGTTCCATTAAATTTCAATCTACCGTATTATTTTCATTGGCTTTTTGTTGGTATTTTTGTTTATGCTGTACTTTCTTATCCCGCTATTTATGTTGAAGTGTACAGTTTAATTAGCATTGTTTGTGCGGAATATCGAGCGCTAAATGATGATTTTGCAAATGATTGCAATACTTATCAATTACCTGTAATTAGGCATTACGTTACCGCTCATTGGACAATGTCACGATCACAGGCACTGTTTGGTCGATCACTTAGGTATGAAATATATTATTACTGCAGGTAGGTGAAATTTTACTAGGCAAATGAAAATTTTGAAATATAATCCAGTCAAAAATTTATTGGCAAATTGTTTGATTATTTACTTTCAATAATCAGTAATAAATGAAATATTAAATAATTTTGGTGATAAGCAAGTTGTCATATCATTTGGAAAATTGTCATTTTTTTGATGATTATCTATAGATAAGTTATAAATAAATAATCAAAAGTGCTTTATATTATCATCCGAAAGATTACCTATAATTGATTTTATCACAAAACAAACACTTCAGATGTTATTTTGCAGCTTTTGGATGAGCTTTCATTTGTCAACTTCAACGCTCTCTTGCATATATCTTCTACGATCAATGCCCAATCTCATCGATCAATTGTTAGCATTGGAACCGATTGTTGTTGCAATAATGATTTGTACTCTATTACTTACTGTAATTGTTGTATCACAGATTATCTCTTCACTGGTGATATGCTTATTACTTTACCATGATATGACACACTTTCGTTATCTGCTCATCGTTCTTATTGCTGGTACTCGCGCTCTTCAGGAACAGGTAAGCAAAATTTCTAAAATCATATTTTAATTTTTTCTTTCCTCAAAATTGAAACTTATCTGTTTACCCACCAGCTTATTTGCATTTTTGAATCAACTGAATATATTTTACTTATTTGAATAATTTCCATGTATAGCAGCTTGTAGGTGAAATTTTGTATTTCTACAGCTGGAAAATATTTCAAAAGAATATTTGACAAAATAGGTAACAGAGAATTTATTCGACTTTCAGACATATTCCGTGGCAATAGCATATATTAATCATTTATATCGAAATCATGTAGGCATATCATTCTTCGAGATTACAATCATTGATAGAAAATTTATCGAGAAGGTTTGGTTCGAATTTTTCAATTTGAATCTTTTTATTATGAAAAAATACGGAGTTTTGTTTTTTCCATTAAGTAAGGAAGAATTTTTGCATGAATACATAGAAGAATACCGTTTTTCATTTTTCGCTGCATCCGATAAAAAATTTATCAAATAATATAAACTTGTTATTTCAGACTGTAACTGTTGTGCTTCTTATCGCTGCTATATATTATTTCAACGATTATGATAAATGTCTGACTGACGGTTGTTGTAAGATAGTATCTGGATTACAAGATGCAAATTGAATTGCAAACTTGATGATATCAAGCCTAACAGACATAGGAGAAGAAAGCTAGCTGTAGTGGAAATAACTCAAACTTACAAAAATTTCCATCAAATTACACTTTGATTTTATCATAAAAATTGTGATGTTGACTGATTCTATTTATTATTTGATAGGATAATGAATATCATCTGTATGTAAGAAAATAAAGAATTAAGTGATAATAATTATTGATCAACTGGCAACATAAATTTAGTACTGAATAACATTCATAAAAATGAAAAAAGAAAATAGTAAACATTAAATAAACAAGCAATAAAATTGTACTCATTTATTTTTAAGCGTTTATATCTACACTTAATAACTGTAACGCACTCTCCCATTATATTCACTCATCATTTCTCCGTCCGATTATATTATGAAAATAATTGAAATGGGGGCGCACGTTTGTATCAAACATATTTGTATAAAACATAAGAGTGAGAAAATAATTTAAATTATCTACTTTTTTCTAAACAATTGCAACAGTTTTTACTTCGAGATCGGCAGATCGCATATTTTCAAAGAATGTCATCTTCCATGTTGTAGCAATAGCTTTAGAAAAACATAATCTAGCTTAAGCTAACTTAATCGTACTGCACTAATACATCATATAGCAGCAACCAATCGAATTCTTTTGATGATTATTTCCATAGTTTTTTATAGTCTAACTTCTGTCAAACACTTAAATCTAATCCAGTTTAATCTTTTTTTTATTCATGTGATAGAAAATAGCATCAAAAAAAAAAACCTATTTTAGTTAACAAATCCTTTGTTGACCTGACCACAGATCAGACCAATAAAGGAATATTAAGGAAAATAGACTTGATTATCAGATAATGTGTATTGTGCGTACGTGCGTGCATTCATGTGCGTGTGTGTGTATGTGTGTGTGTGTGTGTGTGTGTGTGTGTGTGTGTGTGTGTGTGTGTGTGTGTGTGTAAGAACGTACACGAATTTTGTAATCTAAACATCAACTAAAGTGAATGGTAAATTTAATTTTAGTCGACACAATGGCGTCCTTCATAAACTGCTCGTCATAAAACATGTAAGTCGTTCAATTAAAATAACATAGCATTATCGATTCTTTTTAAACTGTATGTTTCATGTTTGAATACCATATGACATTCACTACTAGCAAAAAGAAGATTAGAGTTTAGATTTTAAAAAAGAGTTCTTAACTTAAACTCTATTTGATAACACTTCAGAAATCTTGAAGAGAAAGACAAGTTTTATCGTTTCAATGTAATTTATTTACCTCAAAGAAATAGTGAAAAATAAAGTTCAACAGTTGATCTGAGTGAACATCGAAGATCGCGAACTTTTATACATCGGGAAAATCTTACTTCAAATGGACAAGAAGCACTGAGATAAATTCTGCATAATTTTTATTGACTACATTATCTTACGTCACTCTCACTACATCACCCATAGTATATGGTTTTTCTCTATTTCTCTGTCGTAATTATTTCACACAATATCTCGTCGTCTGTTCAACCTTAACGTTCTCATTTGAACCGAAAGTATATAAATGTTTCTGTAGCATATTCGTTCGTCTGCTTCAACTTGTTGTTCTCCTGTAGTGCTCTGTAGAAATGGCCAGAATGGGTTATGTGTCTGGCTAGAGCTAACTTTAGTTCCAGGTGAAGTTTGGCTTTTTGAAAAATAGGTCGGATTTGTTTCAGGAAGCAAATTTTAAGTGCAATTTGAAGTAGTTCAAATGTCGGGTCGAGGCAAAGGAGGTAAGGCTAAATCATCAGCTAAGGCCAAGACACGCTCCAGCAGAGCTGGCCTGCAATTTCCGGTTGGTCGAATACATCGGCTTCTTCGCAAGGTTCATCGTCTTTCTTTTAATTCCAGTTGAATTATTCATGAGAGGGTAGCAAATCTAATAGTTGCTAATAAATGGATTAAAAATTATTTTAAAGTTGAAATCAGCTATCATCATCTGCCTTTCTGGCTCTGCTCTTTACATATCTATATTCCTATGTGAACATATGCTTACGGCATATGCTTAATTACTTTATCGACTATGAATAAATATAGCTTAGGGAAATATCTTAAAACTACAATTTCCCCTATATGTTTGGACCTTTTATAATCTTCAGGGAAATTATGCCGAACGTGTAGGTGCAGGTGCACCAGTTTATCTAGCTGCTGTACTGGAATATCTAGCTGCAGAAGTGCTCGAGTTAGCGGGTAATGCTGCACGTGATAATAAAAAGAGCCGTATTAATCCGCGTCATTTACAGTTAGCTGTACGTAATGACGAAGAATTGAACAAACTTCTTTCCGGTGTCACTATCGCTCAAGGTATCTCATATGTTTGTCTTAATGAGCAGAATAGTGCACTCAATGCTTGCAGTTAGTATGTGTGTAAGACGGACACTTCTTTTAAAACTTTTTGTTTTGAAAATTTGGATTGTTCTATGTTATTAAATAGTATTAAATCTTATCATTTTCACATAACTTCAGGTGGTGTGCTGCCAAATATTCACGCTGTTCTATTGCCGAAGAAGATTGCTGGTGATAAAGAGTAGAAGTGTGAATTCGGTGGAGAAATTATGAGTTTATTCATTTCCTTTTTTCTAACAATATTTTGTTAAGAAATCTTCTTGAATTCCCTGTGCGATCTTTTTACACAAATTGCCAAGTCAGTAACTTCGTAATATTTGTCGGTTTTTTCTGTTCAATCAATATTTATATATAAAATTCCATGTCTGTTCAGTGTATCTGTACATTAATCAGTGGTTATTCTAATAAAATAAAATTTTTTTGAATTTGTTCTTGTTTATCAGTTATCTTTTTTGCAGTTATCAAAACCAGAATACGGTTATCTTTTCCATGCGTAGAATTTATTAGTTATTTCAGAATAGTTATTCTCAAATAGTTGATTTTCTTCATATTGATATATGAAACAACACAAGAGAATATGCCGGTTAGGGGTCGCTCGTTGTAGGATTCTCAATTATTAGTGTTCTGTTTCCAGAAAATCTGGAGAGGATCGGCACATCTTTTTTTAAAATTTCTTGTAGAAGAGCTGTTGTCCGTCGCAGCGTTCCAACTGGATGACACATGGCTCGATCATCAATTAAAAATCAAATAGAAGAAATAAGTAATGACGAAGCGTTGCAAAATGACTTGAAGATTGTAAGTTAACTCAAATATTCTCTTCCAAAAATCACTGACATAAGGTTCTGGAGGATGTATGCTGTAAAGCACTTTTTATTTTCGTTGTCTCTAATAATCTTCTTAAGCTGCCGTCGAATTATAATTTCGAGATTCCCAAAACGATTTGGAAAATTCGAATTACGAACAGCAAGAATGGTACTTTTTCCCATATATTTTTAAACTTCTTGTGACAAACGAAAAATGCAGCAATTTTACATATTTGAAGTTGGAAGGAAGCAACATTAAACAATTTTTTAAGATATAGATTGTAAAACTGTCCATTTTTCGAACAACTACTCCATCTAAGTAGGACTGCTTCTGCTTCTGACTATAGTAAAATTGTGTTCAATAATGAGCCCCATTACATGAACATTACTGAAGGCCAGTGTTGGACTGATTTCAATTAACTCCCAAGATTTTAATCTGAAACTTGATTTGCAGTTTGTCTGCAGTTTCCTGAAGGATTGCTATTATATTCATGTGTCATTGCGGACATTTTACGAAAATATACAGAATGTGAAATTGTCATTATGGGAGACGTCACATACGGAGCGTGCTGTGTTGGTGATCAAGCTGCACGTGCATTTGGTAAATATATGTAATCGTTTTAAATTTTTATCAAGAATTTTGTCAAGCTTAAATAATAGAACAATGCAAAATCTTTATGTGATAGCTTAATATCAAATTTATCATGAAATTCAGTTATTAAATTACTTCATCCAATCGTTAGTTGAAGCTAGCGGTGATGGTCAAGTACTTTTGTATTTTTTCTTTTTGCAGAAGCAAAGTATTTTGAAACTGAAGTATCGAATTTTGCAGGATGTGATCTTATGGTGCATTATGGACACAGTTGCCTAATACCAATTCAAGAAATGCAAGGAATTATGATGCTTTATGTTTTTGTGAACATCGAAATGAATCTTGGCCATTTTATTGATGTGTTAAAAGCTAATTTCGAAAAGCATAAAAAAATTGCGTTAGTTAGCACCGTTCAATTCGTTGCATGTTTACAGGTTAGTATTATTTATTAGATTTTTTTCTCGCTATAGAATGATCGGATTATTATCTCAGGGATTACTGACAAACCACTATCACCATTTTTAGTAGCTATGCATGAAATGTAATTGTACAGATCGGATTATTATCTCAGGGATTACTGACAAACCACTATCACCATTTTTAGTAGCTATGCATGAAATGTAATTGTACATTAGTTTTTCGAAACTGGTTTACAATTTTATTCGTTGATTCTTTCTATCTAGTCCGAGGATGTAACACTAATGATTTTATAAGTTTACAGTACAGCTCGCTTAAGCGACCAGTAAATTTTGAAAGAGAAGGCAACAATTCGATGATTAATTGTTTCAGAGTGTTAAAAAAGAGTTAATTGACGAAGGTTATAATATTTTGATACCACAAGTGAAACCTCTCAGTTCTGGTGAAATCCTTGGTTGTACTTCTCCCAAATTAGAAGGAGATGTTGACGCAGTCATGTTAGTTATTGATTGGTTAACAATGCAGCAGTCTATCAAGCATCATTTAATTATAATGGGATTTTAAAAGTGTTTTACTTTTTGCATATATGATGTCAAAAAATAATAAATAAATAATTTGAGGCTGCAAAAAATCTCATATTCAGTTAGCATGCATTGTTCTAAATTTAACACATTATTTTTCAGATACTTAGGTGATGGACGGTTTCATTTGGAATCAGTGATGATCCAAAATCCATCTGTTGTTGCTTATCAGTATGATCCATATTCGAAGCAAGTTATAATTTCAAACTTAATTATGCACAATTACACATAATTATTCTTCTAGGCTTGTTGTAAGATTCTTCCAACTTGATCTTTCTCTGTTTCAACGAAGGTTGAATATATTTCAACAAAGGTTAATTTTAGTTTGAAGTGTATTACATTCTTTTGTTTGTAAATTCTATGATTAAAAAAATTGCAGGAAGTTCACGCACGAAGAACACGATTTTGATTTGATGATTGGAAAACGGAAAGAAGCTGTAGAAACAGCTCGGAAATGTCAGATGTTTGGCCTCATACAAGGTTCATTAGGTAGACAGGGAAACCCTAAAATTGTAGAGGTTAATTTTTTAATATACGAGGGAGCCGAGGTGAAAATTGAGAGGATTTATTTGCCTTTGTTTTAGGATTTGGAGAAGAAACTACAAGCAGTCGGAAAAAAGTTCGTACGTATCCTTCTTTCAGAAATAACTCCCCAAAAGTTATCTTCTTTCACTGATATTGACTGGTAAGTAATGGTTATGTAATAATTGTTTTCAGTCATACCAATGGATTTGACCGCATGTATCACCCTTTGCAGTATTGTCCCACCCTTTGCGAGAGTGTACTTGTACATGGCAACTGATAAACTTTTGATGAAGGCTTCCAAGAAAATAAAAAAAGAAAAATTCTTGTAGCTCTAATCCAATCTCATAATTTTACTATGACGAAATACAGGAATTTACTGGAATGTGGACAGTTTGCATCGTGTATCTGAAATACAAGTATTTTTTTATTCCATTCAGAAAATGTAATCCATTTCATGTGATCTGTTTCCAACTGTAAAGAATTTCTATTCTAGCTGGGTTCAAGTAGCTTGTCCTCGCTTGTCAATCGATTGGGGTGCAAGTTTCAAGAAACCACTTCTCACCCCTTATGAGTTGGTCACCGTGCTGCAATATGTTTCATTTCGAACCGACTCATATCCGATGGATTATTATGCGCATGAAAGTCTTGGACCATGGACAAATAATCACGAAACACACCGAGAGAGTCATACCAAACGGAATCATATCAAAGTCGATGCATCACAAACTTGAGATTGTTGTACGTGCTAACAAATGACAGTTTATCGATGATATATTTAGTAGGAGCAGGATAAAGCTAGATTATTTCCTGCCTCGAGCAATTTTTCTGCTCCGCAAATATTTTAAATCATATCAAGTTAGTTTTAGCAGCTTGTTAAAATTAGCACTATAAAGTGAACACAGCAATATCACCGCATGAAATAAAGCGGTCAAAAATTCGTTTCTAATGTTAAATAGCTTCACCAAAATATTAGATAAATGGCTCTCGGTGCAATCTATAATAAATATTTAATTATCTTATTCTATTCGTCTGAGAATCAAAATTATAAGAGAAATAATCTGGGTTTGATTGCTTCAAATTGTCAAACAAATGGATTATGCTATGAACAAAAGTTTTAAAGAATTTCCTGTCTCGAATAAATCTTTCCATAAAATTACAATTGGTAACGTATTATTTCCTAGAAGTACTACCCTAGGATATTTGAGGTATTTTTAGCCATCAAACATTTAAGACCGGTTGATTTAAATAGAAATGTATCTAATGTAGTGTTTTAAAGGATTTAATAACTTATGATCTCACCAGGAAATCCGATCATTGATATTTTTGGTAGTTGATATTTTTTTTTGATATTTTTTTTGGTCTGTGATATTTTGCGAATTTTTCATGATGTTGCATTATTCGACATTGCTTTAATGCGGTGGACTTTTATGCTAAGAAAGAAAAAATATCAGGTTTAATTACAGTCACTTCCAATAAATTTCTTTTTCTTTCCGAACAACGGCTACTCCAATACTGATCTCTTTCCTTGCTGATACCCCGTAGGTGTAGTAGCTGAACTTGTACGATAAATTATCATTTTAGAGTGAATAACATTCATCGATGATTGATTATTTTGATTAGACCTGAAAGATAAGATCGTAATCACTCGGACTCCTTCCTTACCTAAATTGATATAATGCACAATGTGATAGCAACGTTTGTGCAAAATCATGGTAGCATTGTTAAATTTCGATTACATCCTTATTTGGATGCATTATGGTGAACTTTATTTTTATCCTATCAGATATTTGGGAATTTGCTTACGTAGCAGAAATGGAAAAGATAAAAATAACTTTTCTGTTTGGAGGACGATTTTTTCAGTTGATTTCTTTCGTGCTGATTTATCAATCGCTGCTTCCGGTAAATAGATGGGCGGGAAGTGATTTGGAGTTTTCCGCACACAACCAAATGTAATCAGTAGAGCGGTACGGAATTTTTTATTCAGGAAACAATAGGTGATCGGATTAGCGCATGAAGATATGTAGCAAAGCACTGTTATTGCTGTGTTCACACGTGAGTTCCAAATATCGAAAGTCTGCAAATCTTTTTTCATTTAACATTCAAGTCTGAATTTGAACGCTGAATGAAATAATCAAATATGAGAGGGTGAAAATTGGGAATAAGTGGGAGAAAGGGACGATTAATTTCCCATGTCTATGAAATAATTGAAAGATTACAAATTTGTAAATAGAAAATTCAATTGAAGCTTAATGAGATGGATGAGTGAAAATAATAATTTATAAATTATTTGAAAAAGAAATGAAGAAAAACAAGAAAGAAAAAGTTAAACCCTAAATGAATCCTGGGCTGTTAGCAACAACCACCACATATAATTTGGTGTCCAACAGCAAAAAAATATGATAACAATAACGATGAGCATTTTGATAACACGTTGTTTGGCCAGAATTGATCGTTCACTGAAAAATAATGAATGGAAGTATAATAATTAATAATACTAATAATATTGATAATAATAGAAGTATTATAAGTTGAACTGATTCATTTTTTTGTAACTAATTTTTTTCTTTTCGTTTTACTTTTTTTTCTTTCATTGTTATCAATCAATTAATTATTTGTATAGAAGAAAGTGTATAGCTTGTCTAATATGAAAAAGCAATTATTCAACTTTCAAAATTTAATCTTTTTTCTCTTTTTTTTTTGTTATTCTAATGATGGAACTATTTTACTAAAGTGTTGAATATTTTCATGACAGCAATCAAATTACTGCATCATATTATGTGAAGAATTTGTTAGCTTTATAGTACCATACCACTTACTTACAATCTTATTATTCTTTGATTTGTATGTTGAATTAAGTATGTGAATAATAGGATGATATGGAAAGGTAATTAATTACCTGTGCGTAGATCGTAGGCTATTTTTGTATTTACTGCTAAAATTGACCGATTTATTTTTCTCCATAACGCTTAGTGCTGTCGCATCAGAACTGGTTCGTATTTGCTTCAGAGAAGTGTAAAAGCAACTGAAGCAATTGAACTTCTTTGATGGAACTGAACTGAAGTTTTGTTAATTACAGGATGATTTTTTGTTCAACTATCAGCAAAAATTTAGTAAATTTACGGGAGTGAGCTGTTTTTTTTTTTTTTTGAATGTAACAAACACTACATATGTTAGAGTTTTTTCTTTTAATAATTTAGAATTTAAATTTGAAGACTAAAATTTAGAAAATTCCCCTTAAATTTACTATCGAATTGTCTTATTTTATTTTAGGGTGGTAAGATTTTCAAATTGATTAAATTTTTTAAATGTTTGCTAACTTTGTATTTTTCCTATTTTTGCTTTTGAACATTTTCAAACCACCCGATATTTCATCCTTGCAAGGTTGTTGTTGTTCATCGTTTCTTGTCGTAACAACACTATCTGAAAAATTAACTCATTCAGCTTTAGGCAATAAAATCAAGTAAATGTTACCCGTACCAAACTTTGAACAAAAAAACTCATGTTTTCTTCTTTTTAATCCGGAGAAAGCGGAAATTTCAAAGTAATTAAGAAAATCATTTCATTTATGCTTAATGTCTGCACCAGAATTTTTTTTTTTTGCTAATTCAAATAAATTTTTTTTGACAGAAATTTTAAACGAATGTTCGAAAAAAGTTTAGCATATGCAAATAATATGATAATGATGTGAATAAATGTTACAGTTGGAAATTATTTCACTTTTTTGGTAATCAGTTGCAGTGATCGAAATTTTTATTTTCTTCCATTTATCCTTTTTTCTGACTTAATTTTCTAAATTTTTGAAAATTTACTTCAGTTTATATTTAAAATATAATTTAACTTGAATTGGAACTGAAAGAACTGATTGAATTATAGCGAGATTAAATGAAAAATTTGAAAATTGTACCGGTTGTTGGAGCCGAGGTATGCATCTTCATATCAATCCTAAGCGCATGTATTACTGATCCATACAAAACAATCATTATGCATAATGGAATGAGCAGTAATACTGAGGTCATATATATCTGCAAATCAATAAAAATATCAAATAATTTTTATTTTTTTTTTTTGTTTGATATAAAAATAAATCATTTTGAAAATTTTTTAAATTTTATTTTTTTTAATCATCACAATGCTCTTTTTTTGGTATTTCATAAAAATTTCAAGAAATGAATATTGATTTTACTTAGCCAGCTAATATTAAATAATTCTAGCGGTAAAAAAGAAATAGAAATTTTAAAATAATGAAATAAACTAATGTGAAATGCGATAAGGTAATGTTAATGCCCGGACTAGGAATTCGCAGGAGGAATTTAATTACCTGATAACCGAAATGAAGAATTGGTCGATGCTTGGGTGCACATGTTAGACCATTAACATTATAGGTTTGTAGTTCGAACATAAAAAGCATAAATAGATTGGCAAGAACCGAAATAAGCCAAACCAAAGTGATCATTGTATAGGCATGTGATCGAGTATGCCAAATTCTTGAATGTAATGGCTTACAAATGGCATAATATCGTTCAAATGCAATCACAGCTAATGTATAAGCGGATGCTGTTACTACAACTGCTGAAAATTTTATCAATTTTAAAATAACTTTTTAAAATATTAATAGAAAGAGAAAGGGAGAGTAAATTTTCGTTTGTTTTTTTACTTCCTAGTACTTCATTTAATTTGAAATTTCGTTCGATTAGTTGCAAAATTTCAATATTTCTCTTGCATTATACTTGATTTTTTTCTAAACAGTTACAAAATTTCAACAAAGATTATATTATGCGAAGAAAAAAAAAATGAAGCATAAATGATGACATAAGAATAGCTTGCAAATGAAAAGATTTTGCGGAGACACGGTTAAATATATTACAAAATTTTCCATTTTCAAATTAATTTATTTGTTAAGCTGTTCCCTGTTGAAACTTTCCTTTTCCATTCTTTCTTTTTTTGGTTGTGCTTGAACGACGAAAATGAAATAAAAAAAAAAAACATTGTTATCATGCATGGTCTTGTTATCATTATAAACAAGAAAAAAAAAGAAGAAATTCATTTTCCCGAATTGATAGGCAACAAGAAGCAATTTATCAGCAATTTGTTGAGTATAAAACTGTACAGTTTATTATGCTTATGTGAAAAAGGTCTTATTGTGCATGATTTTGTTATTGTTATTATGTATGGCGTTATTATTATCATGAATGACTTTGTTATTGTTATTGTACACAGTCTTCTTATTGTGCATGATCTTGTTAATGTTACTGTACACAATCTTGTTATTGTTGTTATACGTGGTACGTTCATCATGTATTGTTCAATCTTGTTGATTGATTAAACAATCTTGAATTACTTTATCATCGATATTCGGATTTGCTTTCAACAAAGATGTATTATTAAAGGATGCGAGGCAAATCAGATCTGATAAAAATTTATCATAAAAAAAAAGCAGATATAATGTTTATTTCCGCTTCTCCATGATATATCACAGAGATGGAAAATGATAACAGAATGGCACAGAGAAAAATTTAATGATCTTTAAACTAACTATCTTACTATTCTGATAGACTGATTGTGAAAACGTAGTATGACACTATTCCATAGTGTCATATTAATATGATACTATAAAATGCTACAGGTATTCGAGATTATTAGAGGAAGTAATAAGGTGAACGATGAATAATTTAAGTGACAAATTCTTTTTATTTCTTCTCGATTATTACAACATCTTCAACTTTCTACATCAATGATGTTTTCATTTTTTTTTTTTGATTTTACCATTTCAGCAGTGCTTCCCATTTTTTTTGTGTCGTAATATTTTCAATCTTAGTTAAGGGTTATATTTTCTCGAAATTAGCCGTAGAATTTTAAAATATTAAAAATTATCAGTTTTTTTTTTTGAATATTTTAATTTGAAAAACAGGAACATTTAAATTGACAATACAGTTTAGCATTGTCTTCATTCCTTTCACATTTCATTTTTCTTCAATTTTCCTGCAAAGATTGATTGTCGGTTCAAAAATATTGACAAAGCCTTTGTTAAGTTAAAACACACACACATCACTGTTTGTGTCAACGGATGACATTCCTTCCTCAGCCCTAATTTCCTCAAATTTCAATTAGTCACTGAAAACTGTAGAAATGAGCATAGCCGCCAATTAATAAAATTTGAGGAGAAATGATTGGAAATGTTAGAGGAAATAAACCAATTAAAGGAGACTGTAATGAGTGCTAAGAATAAAGGATTTGATGTCTTTTACTTTTTAAAATATTTCGGAACATATTAACTTTGACAGTTAAAAAAAAATGAAATTAATGAGTTTTCAAATTTGATAAGTTCTATGAGGTAAAGTATTACATCTGAGAA